CCTCGCTCAGCCAGTGAGCGGCCGGTCCGCATGTGGGATCCAAACCCTCGGCGGGAGCGCCGCCGCGCTCCCAAGCAGCGCACTGCAGCACTGCGCCACCGGGCCGGCCCGTGTTTTACATTTTTTATGGAGACAAAACATTTCTCTTTAGTAGGCATGAAGATTTTTTTTTTATTTCTCTTTAAGTTTCATGTACAGAAGTCCCTTTCTCATTGTTATGGATCATAAAAACATACTCACTACAGACACAGTGTAGATTAGAGAAAAGATTCCCACATTGGGATCAGAATAGCCATGCCAAGTCCCAATAATGCAAATAATGACATATTTTACATTGGACAGTTCTTTTCAGCACAGCTTTGTTGTTTGTAAAGTGGGGCAGGTTGACTGGATTAGAACCTTTATGATTTCTCCTAACTCTAACAATATTGTGCTTTAGGTTAATATTTTATTGTTAAAAGAAAAGAGAAGCCAGGAGATTGGGTCTTCAGTAAACATACTTTAATAATAATCAAGTTATCCAGTTGGCCAAAATTATAATTTTTTAAGAATCATGCAAGGTATCTATTAAGTCCCCAACATAGTGTCTAAATATGTATTTAGATTGTTAAATATAATGCTTCTCAAAAATGTTTTTTTATTTGTTTCTTCTCAGGTCCCCGACTGTTTCTTCCTTGTCCTATGGATGTAGAAGGTTCTAGAGTGTGGTTCATGGATCTCTGGAACTATTCTTTGGTACCTTATATTCTAGAGGCAGTGAGAGAAGGACTTCAGGTATAATACTCAATTTTTGTTCTTTTAAATGAAAAAAAAATCATTCTTTTAAAAGCAAAAAAAAAAGGCAGTGAGAGAAGGACTTCAGGTATAATACTCAATTTTTGTTCTTTTAAATGAAAAAAAAAATCATTCTTTTAAAAGCAACAAAACAAAACAAAACACATTCATTTCTCCGGGAATGTATGCAGAAAACTAAAGGATTGAATTATATAAATAGAGCAGTAAAGTTTTAAAGAGCAACTGGTATATGATACTTTTGACTGTTCTGATAAGAAATACAAAAATTCAAAAAAAAAAAATAATTCAAAAAGTTCAAGGAAAAATTGAGTTAAAAGATAATACAAATCCTTCCACGAACTATTTGAAGTCCCCATTTATGTAAGAGAAAGAGAAAGCACAGTTACCCAAGAACTACACATCTAAGGCCAAATTTGTTGCCATGGGTTTTTACAGTCTATTCTTTAATATTAGATAGCCAGTTAATTGCACAGTTCTTCCTCTTATGACACAGCCATGTTTACATGGGACTTGACCATGTACACTCATATCACAAAATTTACAAGTAGTTTTTGCTTGTAAGGTCTCTGTTTTTAGTACGTGTCCTTGTTTGAAACCCTTTTATATCACTGGAGAGATCCTTTACTATTTTTGAAGTACTGCTCTGAATTCTAAATCAGTTAGTTGGCCTTTTTATCTGTGACAGGTTGGTTAAGCATCTCTGCTGTTCCTCACATCTACTTTACATCACGAGGCCCTGCAACCAGCCCTTCTGTTTATTCTTAACTAAAAAGTGAGAATATATCACTAATAAGAAAACCTCGTTTAACAACATTTATTATCCCTTTTTCAATCAATCTTGCTATTTTCTTAAATTGGATTTGAAATTTCATGAAATTGTAGAATTGTAAAACTCCTTAATATTTATGTTACATAATCACTCAACTTATTGTGGAAAAATCAATCTCCTTTTCAATAACTCAGACAAGGTTTAGGCAGTTTTTGCTTAGGCATCTTGTTTTCTAGTTTTCACTTTTAGAATTAAGAAATAGTTCATGTTTTCCATGTTCTGTCATCTGTAATACCATGGTAAGTCTTATTTTACTATCTAAAAACTTTGTCATCTATTTTCCATTCTTAAATGCCTTTTACTCTTATGCTGTCTTTATCTAGTAGAATAACATGACAGTATTTAGAACTATTATCATGGTCCTGGTGAACATGGTGAATATTATGAGGCTGCTCTGAACCCTCAAAGATAAAGTTAAGGTCCTAAAGAATGCTGTTGATTGGTTCTACTCCAGATTTAGATAAACCAATTTCATGATTTTAAGGGTATGAGCCAATCTAGCCCCAGCAAGTGGCTCCAACAAAATAAAAGATTATAGCAATGGTTTTTATTTAAGTATAACATATTGTGTTTCAGGGTTCTTCTAAAAGTACTATGTTGCCTAGGATGTCGGTTCTCTCAATTTCAATCATTTATATTTTTAATAAAAGATTATAGCAATGGTTTTTATTTAAGTATAACATATTGTGTTTCAGGGTTCTTCTGAAAGTACTATGTTGCCTAGGATGTCGGTTCTCTCAATTTCAATCATTTATATTTTAAAAAAAATTTTATGAAAATTCATTTGCAATATTCTAGACATAATAATTTTAAAATTAATATTTAAATGAATTATTTGGGGGTTGCCCAGTTACTCAGTTGGTTAGAGTGCTGCATTGTAACACCAAGGTCAAGGGTTCGGATCCCCATACCAGCCATCTGCCACAAATAAATAAATAAGTAAATAGAATAGAATAAAATAAATGAATTATTTATTCTCTAAATACAGCTTTAGTATTAAACTATCATTCAAGTCTTTATACATAAAGGTCCTTGTTTTATATTTTTTTGCTAATACACAGAAAAAGCAGCAAGCTTTTTAAAAACTCAGAAAAAATTAAAAACAAATAATAACAATAATAATAATAATGCCAGCTGGCCAGCTAGCTCAATTGGTCAAAGTGCAGTGTTGTAACACCAAGAAAAAGAGTTCAGATCCCTGTACTGTTCGGCTGCCCAAAAAAAACAAGCTAAAAATGCTTGCCTTCCATGGATTTCATTTCTAAAACATGTATGGGTTGTTTCTTTATATTTAAATTGGTATTTTTTATAAAACACTATTCTGAGAATTATAACTCTATAAAGCTTCCATTCCAAAAGTAGTAATTGTTTCCCAAACTAAAACTGAGAGATACTTCAAAATTACTTTTGAAGAGGTATAAAAATGCCCCAACTTTTTTGCTATGGTTTTGTATGTTTAATAGCAGGCTAGTGTGAAAGCTGAATCAACCATGAGGTGAAGGGGTGGGAGGATGGGAGCAGGATCCAACATATGGGAGAGCAAAAAAATAAAACTCTATAGTGGGTAGACAATCCTCATTGCTATTGAAGGCTATGCTAGGCCAGAAAAGTCCATTGGCAAATCGTATTTCTGGAGTACTCAATGCATGCTTTCTGGAGGATAAGGAAACAAAGGAATCATATACATACAAACCATTCCTTTGTATCTACTTCAAGAACCTTGAATTGGAGGAAGATGCTGAGAAACAAAACCTGGTAGAAAAGACGAAACTCTGAGTTGAGGGGAATAAATAAATCTCTTTTCAGATGAAGGCTGATGCTTTGGTGAGGAACCATATGGGGAATGTTCTCTGCCAGATGTTCTATTTGGAAAAGATGCTGGTGATGCAGTGGATTTTGATTCTTCTTGGTGATTCTATCCTTTTTGAAATGTCAGCAGTCAATTCATCTCATTCTAAGTGCTTTAGATTTCTCTTCTTTCAGTTCTTTTTCTATAATATTTATTTCACTCTGAAGTACAGAGTTGGGCTTATTTAGCTTTGTATTGGACACTTCCAATTTTGCTGTCCTGAATGACTTATTAAAAGGCTGGCATCAGTTAATTCTAGACTTTCATGTTCTTTGAAGGTTGATTCTAGACTTTCAAATTCTTTTTTTAAAACAAATTATGCTTTCCAAGAATTCACATTTTTCTTCAATTATTTTAAGTTGTAGAGCAGACTATATGTTACATCCTCTATAAAGTAGGTTTTTCACTAAGAGAAAACTCCAAAACAAGAGAACTATTTAAAAAAATCTAACTATTGCTACCTTTGCTATCATCTCCTGAGGAAATGCACAGATATTAGGACTAGACTCTTTTTTTTAGGCAGGCTGAAAACTTTTATGTAACTTCTCCAGAGGAAACCCTAAAGACAACTCCAAGGCAGTCCATGAACTTTTCATGGTGTCAATATCCATATTTTGCTCTCATCTCACTGAACTAAAACAAGCCACACAGAACACCCATCTACCAACAAGCCACAGTATGTCATTTGAGACTAAATATGCACCAGGTATCCAGGATTGTCCGGGGTGGAGCAGGTCATGGGTGGATGAGTACAACATTAAAGAACTAGTGTGCTCATGGTAAAGCCTCCTTAATTTTAACCTTTCTTTCTGTGCTCCTTGTGGTCTTTTACTTTTTTACAAAGTCTCATCAACATCTATCTTCTCAGTGTGCTTTTTCCAGTTTGGTTTCAGCTTTGTTTCTAGCTTTAAAGTGCTCAGCATCTCTGGGATGTATTTTCTCTCTCTACTCCACTGCCGGTACTCTGCCTAAGCAGTATCATCTCTTTCTTTTTGGGCTCTTTGCCCCCTATGAGTTCTAGCAAAGTTCATACTTCAATTTTCTTTCTTGTTTCTAGCTTTAAAGTGCTCAGCATCTCTGGGATGTATTTTCTCTCTCTACTCCACTGCTGGTACTCTGCCTAAGCAGTATCATCTCTTTCTTTTTGGGCTCTTTGCCCCCTATGAGTTCTAGCAAAGTTCATGCTTCAATTTTCTATTTTTTTTTTTCCTCATGTACTAGTGACATTATACATAAACATCTAAAAAGAGCTTTTACAGGAAGCAATGGGAGAATTAGAGGAAGTTAATTGAAGGAAAATGCTTACCAGAGAAAGTATTCTTACTCTCAAAGAATACTTGAGTAGAGTGAATTAGACAGAGAAAAAGAAGTCTCTTTTCTTTTACTCATCATTTTTCCAAAGTACGTTTTAATAGAAAACTCTAGTATCAAGCATAGATTTTTTTCAGTCATCCATACCTGAAGCTTTTATGTCTCAACCTTTAGTATTCTCTTGGTTTGTAGAATTTGTAATAAAGATCAATGTAGTTAGTTATCTACATTTATTTATAATAAACCTCCTTTATATTCTTCCCCAAATGCTTATTTATCATGTATCCAACGTGTTCAGTTTTATTTTGTCCAGCTCTCAAGTTTAGAGTGAGCTGTTTAAAATTTGGAAAATTGTATATAGCCATTTAATTCCCTTGAGTTCTATCAGAACTCAATGTGCAAAAGAAACATTCCATGAGTAGTCACCTTTTTTACTGAATAGAAATGCATCTTACATGTGCTCCATATATGATCAACTTTTAGATGTATGGGAAACGCACACCGTGGGAAGATCCCTCAAAGTGGGTGCTTGACACATACCCCTGGAGCTCAGTGTCTCTCTCTCAGGAAGGCCCAGCATTACATCAGGTGCGACCGGAAGATGTTGGGTATGAGGGCTGCGTATCCACTAAGGAAGCCACAACCTCAAAGCACATTCCACAAACTGAGACGGAAGGGGATCCCCTGGTAAGACACCGATGTTTGATTCTTCCTATAAAATCTTGACTGCAGTGTCTGGTCATTAGTATTTAGTCATTTGTATCAAAAGTATGAATTATCCTAAGTCATATTTGAGATGGTACTGATATTAGTACTCAGGTTTAACTCTATTATCTTTGTCCTGCTTTCACTGGATAAAATTCTTAAATGAAAACCAAATATATATGCTTAAAAATAATCCAGAAACACTGGAACTAGCCTGAACTCTATGGCTGTAATTTTCCTCTTATTGTGCATTAAGTTGTATAAATGAATAAATAAATATTTAAAATATCATGACTCAATTCACTAGGTATTTAAAAGAAAACCAAATTTTGTTTTTAAATGAGAAAAACAAGAAGAGTATAATCTAATGTACACTTGGGGAACTAGAGAATATTTTATACATATTAACTAGCCTGAGTAAATTTAAATTAGTCTTCTGTTGCCTACAGTAGGAGGATAAAGTGACTTGGAAATCAAAAGCAACTTATTTTCCCTGCTCTGCTCAATTTGCAAAGAGTGTATAGTTTATTTAGTTTTAAAATTGCCAGAATAATTTGAATAAAAGTCTATAAAACCCCAAAATATAAATATTCTGAAAATATTAAATACATGGTGTTATTAGGAACAAGACTACTTTTTAATGTGTATTTTTATTTTTAAAGATTACTTTCTACATAATGGTATCAAATGTAATGTGTTTGTTAGACTACCATTCTGTATCAAAAGAGATCATTGGACTTGTACAACCAATGCAGGAAAAGGTACTGAAATAAATGCCACTATGTTACTTAAAACAAACACAAAAAAGGAATAATTAAAAATTATAACCTGTAACTATACTCAAGGATTTAAAATGACTTGACATTTTATGGAATGCTCTTGCACCAACAACCCAGACACATACATATCATCATCTCAGCTCATCATTCGTAACATTTTGGGACTTACGTGTGGAAAATATGGTAAGCTTTCAAATTGCTTTCCCCAGCAAAATGTATACCCAACAGAAAATTTTGCATACTATTTCAAGAGTTCCATAAAGTCACTGAAATATATGCATCAACTTAGAGTTCAGAGATCCTGTTTCAGATTTCTGACCTAGGCTATAAATTCCTTAAGGGTCCAGACTTATATTTTTATAAGTCCTTTAGGTAATACACAGTTATAAATCAACAATGATGGTGGAATTGGTCTGAATTCATCATAACCATGAGCATACACTAAATAATTGCTGATAAAGTGGTTAAAATTTGATAGAGTAAATGTAAGCTTTAGAGTATAGAGAGAGAGAGAGACTGTTGATGGAGACATTTGGCTTTTTGCCTTATTAGGTTTGAGAGGTTATCACCAACTTCTTTCATTTCATATCCTTATGTAGCTGATTCAATACATTCAGAGTTATACTGAAAATCAGATTGAAAAATATTGTCCTGAAGACTATTAAAATGATTTCAAAATATGTATGCTATATGTAGCCTCTTTGTCAGAAAGGCATTTTTGCTGAAATTGCTGATTACCAGTTTATCATTTATTTCACAAGCATTTATTGAACATACATTTTACACTGAACACACAACCATGCTAAGTTAACATATAACCAAGAAATCCTTTTTTAGATTTCTCTTTTCTATTGCTCTAAGTTGGAAAAAAAGAACAACTTTGATAAATTTATAAAATAATATAATTTGTGTGCAATAGGCAATATAGAAGTTATTACAATTTATAGAAACCATTAATAAGAAAACAAGTTTGCTACCCTCATGAAGATACATGCCAATTTTTCTGGGCTTTCTAAAATCGTTGAATCATTTATCCACAATTTGATTTTAAACAATTTTTTTCAACTTCTGTCTTTACAGTAGAGCTGCAGATCTATCAAAATACAGCATTGTGACTGACTTTTATTTTATACTACACGGAAATGCTAGCTGCCTTTCTCCCCAGGTGCTTTCATGCATATGTCACTGTCTAGAAAAACGGTACCATTCTCTTATAAGGCTGGGAAACTTGAGACAGCCGCTATCTTTCCAGAAGGTGGTTTTTGTTTTCAGTGATATATCAATCATATTTTAGCCAGAAATTCAACAACAAAAACTTGACAGTGATTCTTTTCCTATCCCTCTTCAAAAAATGCTCATGGTTGGCTTCATTCAGTCACCTCCTCTCGAGGTCAGCTCCTAAACAGCAGATGGTGCGCTCTGTGCAGCAGCTGGCTTCATTCCACTCCATCCCCTTCTTCTCTCCAGGGACTGCGTGTGTACGCCTGTGTGTGTATGAACACTCCCGACTTTCAGTTGCCATTCAATGCTTTCTGCTTCTCCCAGCCAAAAAGCTGAGCGGCTTGGCATACGTTCCAGAAATCAACCCAGATGTCCAGCTGTGATACAGTTTCCTTTCCAGTCTCCCTGCTGGAGCAGTATTCATTCACAACCCCAAATGAAAGAGTCATCTAGAGGCCCTATTTGTCCTTATGGTTTGGTGGTGTGGTCATGTTTGGGAGAAATAGTGTCCGAGCCAGGGGCAATGAGTGAAAATCTAAAATTGTTTTTTTGTTTCATTTGGATGGGTTGAGGCGGTTCTTCAGTGTGGCTCAGAGCCTTGTTTTGTATGGGGCGGGCTTACTCCATGCATCATCGCCTGCATGATGTTTCTTTTTCTTTCTTCAGATGAATATGCTAATGAAACTCCAAGAAGCAGCCAATTACTCGGGCACACAAAGCTGCGACAGCGATAGCACCAGCCACCATGAAGACATTTTGGATTCATCTCTTGAATCTACCCTCTAGAGGGTGAAAAAAGTTAGGGGAAAAGACTATGCTTTTAAAAAATGTTTTAAAATAAAGGTATTTTCACTAAACCACTGCCAGTATGAAAGCACCCTGTCAAGGGCCCTGACCCAGAGTTGTGGTCTCCAAGGAGGCAGCAGAACTAAGTCTGAACCGCCAAGATACCTAAATTGAAATGGAAGCTTAACTTTATTTTATTTCTAGGCATTTTTATATCTATGGAGTGATAGAAGGCTCCATTACAACTGGAAAGGACCCTAATGACAGGGCAACTGAATAGATTGCACACGGGATAGCCAAACTGGACTTTATTGTTTTCCTCTTTAAAAGTTTACAATGCAGACCTTTTTTTTGTCCCTTCCTTTTGTTTCCTCTGAGGGGCTCTTCTCCCCAGGCAGGGTCCATTCTTCTGATCCGTCCAACCTCCTTTGTGCCACATGGTGCTGGTCACAGGGCTCCAGTAGTGTTCGTGTTGTGCGCTCACCCCATTCCAAAACGAATCCAAGAGGCCGGGCCTCCATAAGCACAAATGGAATTGTGCAACCACCAGAAAAACACTACTGTGGCAAACTGGAGAAGTGCCAATTTAATTCTAACTGCCATGTTTTCATGATGTGCTCCTCCAACTTTTAGTGTATGAGTCACAGGTTTTATAAGGTTCTTTTTACCGCAGTGGTCTTTTTAAACCACCTGCCCACTCCCTTAACAAGAGTTTTATACCAATTACTAGTCAACACTGACAAAAGGCTTTTTTAGGGCTTTATTTGTTTGAGCCTTTTCAGTGAAAGAAGGAACATTTCCTATGGTGCTGTCTCACTGCCTTAAAACAGATTTCTACAACAGTTTAACAGTTGGTTTAAATCCTAAACCATTGGTAATTTCCACTGTCTTTTCATTTACAACCAAGCAACACCAGTTAACACAGTAGCCTCATCTCTACATATCTTTTTTATTTTATTTTATTTTTTGAAGAAAATGGATAGGAGAAAGATCAGTATTTTTAACTTGTGAATAGTTTGCTTTGCCTATCCTCCAAAATATTCAAATAACCCAGAAACCCTCTTTGACCGTCACCTCAAATCTGAGACATGTGGCTAAATTCCATCCAGTTCTAAGTGAAAGAGTTTCAGAAGGTGGGAGATTTTGAATTCGTATCCAGCAGAGCTGGAAGCACTAGATGCAGCATGAGCACAATTATTTGGCTTTCCTTCCCTATTTTTTTTAATTAGTTTTGACGCATGTTGTTTTGATTGCTATTGTTGTACATGAGAAATTCAGCATTAATGAACACTGAAGCAGTAAAGTCACTGTGGAAGAGGAAGCGTTTATACTGTAAAAGAAGGTTAGATTTGCACAGTCTACTGGGTAGGTATTGTAAATAATAATTTTTAAAACTTGCACAAATCAAAACACAAACAAAATAGTATTTTATCCTGTTGGTGTTAAGAGGTGTTTCACTTGCTGAGATTTCCTGTACATTGCAAACAAATACAGAATGCAAACCCTCAAAGCTGTTATTATCTGGTGTGTTTGTCCTGTATTTACAGTTGTTATGACTATGCAGGAGCTATCAGTGCTAGAGTGAGCATGCTTCAAAACTGTACATGAAGCCAATACATTTTTGGATAAGTAAAACTGTCTGAAAGTACATCTGTCGTGGCAGGCTTTAAAGAGAGTGCATGAAAACTGATCAGAGTCATTGGAGAAGTTACCACCACACGCAGAGGACAGATTTTAAGTTTATTAAACCTAAGGGCTAGGCCATGGTGTAGACTTGTTCTATGCATGTGAAAATGTGTTACTATTAGGAAGTGTTATTGGTGCTACTCTCTGTGACCACTCATGGGTCAGTTGCTATGCTAGGCCATGGTGTAGACTTGTTCTATGCATGTGAAAATGTGTTACTATTAGGAAGTGTTACTGGTGCTACTCTCTGTGACCACTCATGGGTCAGTTGCTATAACAACAACAACAACACAAGACATCTGTGCAGTTTTCAGAGCATCACTAAGTGTATAGGTCCTTACACGGTGCTATTGCCCTAAGGGAAATCTGAACTGAACTTATGCACATAGAATTGTCACCCTGACTTTGAAGCCTCAAACATGGATCAAGTCTGTTGTGAAACATCAATATATGTAGCTGGATGAGTGACTAGTTGCCCTTGTAAAATATGTGATTTAAGAAAATTGCTAATCTTTCCCTGCCATTTTGAAAAACACAGTCCAAACATGAGCATAAACAGAATTTCCTGCAATACATCCCAGTAGGTCCACCTAGTCTACAACTTAAACTAGTTTGTGAAACATTTGTCTGTATACATTTTATATTTTGTACATTTTTGATGTAACATATCATGTAAATAGGCAGAAACAAGTGAAATAAATCATCTGAAAAGTTTTGTAGTCTTTGTAAAGCCCCAACAATAAGTACTTGGTGTCAATGGACTTAACTGGATGATGTATTTTCTATTGGTTTATTGTTCCTCTAGCTTGTAAACCAGCTTGCATATATTTTTTTGCAAATGTGCACCCTGTATCTGTCTAAATTATTACTTTGCCATTAAAGTGGAATTATTTATTGACAACAAGGTGTGGTGTCTATGTATGGAGAAAAACCAAGTAATTATGCACCAAGAAGTGTCAAGATTTAAAATGTTGTTTGCACTACTAATCTGCCATTGATAGGGATGTCTGGGAACTTATGGGTATATTTTATATACATCATAGAAAGGGACTCAAAGCTTTTTAAATAAGTAAACAAACTAAAGGCAATAGATACATCTTTTTAAATGGAAGTTATTTATTCAGCAAATATTTTTAGAAAACTGAATAGCCTTCCTAAATAATTAATATAAAATGAAATGTTGATATTCACTAAGTCAAATTAACTCATTAAATGTTTGTTTTTATTCCATTAAATTATCTTTTGACCTTTTAGCTCTAAAGATGGTTTTAAAGAAAAACAATTCTTTGGGTGGTAGTTTGTTTCTTAATAGAAAAAATTACAAAAAGAAAAAGAAACTCTCTTTTAAATTATAATTTCCTTTAAAGTACCTTGGGCATCTCTTTAACCCCAGTAATTAGAATGTGAATTTGTATGGTATAGGTAGGGCTTTAATTCTAAACGAAGGAAAAATTTTGAATTAGAACAGTTATACAGCAAAAAAAAACAAAAAAAAAACAAAGTATTAGGTATTAGTTAAAATGGATCCATCATCCATAATGGATTACAACAGGTGCATCTATTCCTTCACTCAGTTTGGGAGATACAGGAAATTTCCACAATGCATCTTATTCAGATAAACATTGAATTAATCCCAAAATTTATTTTTTATATTTTTAAAAATTTTTTAAAATTAATCCAAAACTTAAATATGATTCTGCTAACTGCAATATATTAGGCTGCATAAGTGAGTCCCAACCCTGTCATTCTCTGTGTGATCTTAGCCAATTCACTCAAACTCTGCATTCCTTAGTTTCCACACCTATAATCATTATAAAATGATGATAATAGTATCCACCTCTCACAGATTATTGTGAAGATCAAAAAGGTTATTACATGCAAATGCCATGAACAGTGCCTAAACTTCCATAAATTGTAGCTGCTTCAACAAGCATTATATTATAATAATTATTAAATATTCATTATTCTCTTTTCAAACATTCTTGAGAACAAAGTGTAAAAAAATTAACTTATTTTATTAATAGTTTTTTTTTTTTTTTCCTTTTTGTCTTTTTCCGTGTCCGGCAATGGATCGCAACCCTCAGTGTCGCCCCCGTACCGTACCAGACCGGGACCGGCAATGGGATCGCAACCCTCGGTGTTGCTCCCGCGCCTCGCTAAGCCAGTGAGCAGGAACCGGTCTGTATGTGGGATCCGAACCCTCGGCGGGAGCACCGCCGCGCTTCCCAAGCAGTGCACTATAGCAGTGCGCCACCGGGCTGGCCCCTATAATAGTTTTTTTAAAGAATGTACCAACTCAATTTTCTCATTTATAAAATGTAAATGGTGATAGTACTACCTCACAGAGCAGTTGGGAAAACTGAATTTAGATCTGTAAGACATTTTTTTTTTTTGTCTTTCTTGTGAAAGGTAAGGGGATCGCAACCCTTGGCTTGGTGTTGTCCGCACCACGCTCAGCCAGTGAGCGAACCGGCCATGCCTATATAGGATCTGAACCTGTGGCAGGAGTGCTGCTGCGCTCCCAAGCGCTGCACTCTCCCAAGTGCGCCACAGGGCCGGCCCTGTAAGACACTTTTAACAATGACTATCACTCAGGAAACTTTCAGTAAATGTGAGCTGCTGTTTTAACACTGCCAATATAACAAGTTAATAACATCAGTAGTGTAACAAATATTCTCATGATTCAATTTGTAAATGTATTCAATATAATATGAGAGTTTTATTAAAAGTATACCTCTCATTCAGTTTACTCATCTGTAAAATGTGATTATTATACTATCTAGTCATAAGATTGTTTTAAACACCATTTTAAAATAAGTAAAGCACTCAGAACGAAGTTTCTACCACATCTTAAATGCTACCT